TATATTTTATTTCAAAGATGGGGCCTTCGTAGTTCTCTGGAATACAAATATAACTTTTCTCTAGTGTAAGCCACCTACAATGGTCTCAACACTTGGCAATGAATGGTATGTGAAGTTCATGAGTCTATATTTTCCAAATAAAGAAAAAATATCCAGAGCCCACAATTTATGTCTGATACTTTGTCACATTCTAGAATAGTTTGCTTTAATAGCTGTTCTCTATTAAAGCATTGTTTTAACCCTTTTGAGCTGACATGATCACATGAAAGATAAATTAAGAGTATTTAAATAAAAGTTAGCAAAAGATAATATTAAAGAAACTACTCTCATAGATTAATATTTTAACACTGTCTTAAATTAATAAATGAGTAAATTAGTCTTAAATCCAAGTCAGTGGAACTGAATTTGCCAGATGTTTTGGATCATGAAGACAGGAAGCATTTCTATGAATAAGAAAGTGTTTAAATGACTATTATAATTATAGTAATGCAATATTTCTATGGAATATTATGCAATCATCAAAATATATAATTTCAAATAATATTTAATGACAGATACAATAAAATGAATGTGATTCTAAGGAAGCAAGACACTCAACTATTTATGTGTTAAGCTGAACAAAGCTTAGAGGTTAGGCACTGTGCTAGGTGTTGGAATTACAAAGTGAACAAGAAAAGCACAATCCCAAATGCTGGACTACTTCTCACTGTATTCTTTGCCTGATTAGGACTTTCAGGTTGTTTAAATATCAGTTTTAGTGTCATTTCCTCAGAGAAGCTTCTCATCACTTTTTGTAAAGTAGCTTCCCCTCTACCTCTTCCTTTGTTTAAACTCTTTATTTTGTTTTCTGTTTCCTTGATTTTCTTTTATCTGAGTCTAATGAGATATTTATGAGGTTCTAGTCCTTCATTTTATTAATAAGGTATATTACATTAATTGATTGTTTCAGGGTGAAGACAACCATTCCTTTCTAAGACAAGCATATACAACTAGAGTCATACTTAATGGTAAAAGACTGAATGCTCTGCCCTATAATGCTGGTAAAAAGGCAAGATGTCTCCTTTAGACATCACTATTCAACACTGTACCAGAGAGTTCACTCACTGCAATCAGGCCAGAATATAAAGACACATAGATTGGAAAAGAGAAAGTTAAAACTCTCTATTCGCAGGCAACATTATCTTGTATGTAGGTAATTCTAAGAAGGCTACAAAAAAGCTACTAAGAAAGTTTAGAAAGGTTGCAGGATACAAGATCAAATGTAAAAATTAATTGCATTTCTATATACTAGAAATAACCCCAAAATGAAATTTTAAAAATTCCACTTACAATAGCAACTAAAAGAGTAAGAGACTTAAGCATAAATTTAAAAGGGGTGCCTGGGTGGCTCAGCCGTTAAATGTTTGACTCTTGATTTTAGTTCAGGTCATGATCTCAGGGTCATGATATCAAGCTCCACATAGGGCTCCTGTGCTGGGTGTGAAAACTGCTTAAGATTCTCTCTCTCCCTCTCTCTCTGGTCCTATGCACTACCCCCACCCTGCTTGCTCTCTCTCTAAAAAAAAAAAAAAGTCAATTTAACAAAAGAAGTCCAAATCCTATGCATTGAAAAACTACAAAACACTGTTTAGAGAAATTACAGAAAATCTAAATAAAGATGCATTCCATGTTCACGTATCTAAAAGACCCAATGTTGTTGAAATGGCAATTATACAAATGAACATTCAAAAACCAAATAATCCAGTTAAAAAATGAACAGAAGAAATGAACAGACATTTCCCCAAAGAAGACCTCCCGATGGCCAACACATACATGAAAAGATGCTCAACATCACTTATCATCAGGAAAATGCAAATCCAAACTACAATGAGATATCACCTCACGTTTATCAGAATGGCTAAAATCAACAACACAAAAAACAATTGGTGTTCATGAGGATGTGGAGAAAAAGAACACTCCTGCTCTGTTGGTGGGAATGCAAACTGGTACAGCCACTGTGGAAAATGGTTTCTCAAAAAGTTAAAAATAAAACTACCCTACTATCCAGTAATTGCACTGGTGGGTATTTACCCCCAAAATACAAGGCACTAAATCAAAGGGATACATGCATCCCTATGTTTATGGCAGCATTATTTATAATAGCCAAATTATGGAAGTAGCCTAAGAGTCCACTGACTGGCAGATGTATAAAAAACATATGGGAGAGATATAGATAATGGAATATTATTCAGGCATAAAAAAGAATGATATCTTGTCATTTGCAATGGCATGGGTGGAGCCAGAGAGTTCAATGGTAAGTGAAATAAGTTAGAGAAAGACAAATACCATATGATCTCACTCATATGTGGAATTTAAGAAACAAAACAATCAAGTGAGTGACAAAAAAGAGAGGGTGGGGGAAAAGACAAAAAACAGACTTTTTATTGAGAGCACACTGATGGTTACCAGAAGGCAGGTGGGTTGGGGGATGGGTGACATAGGTGATAGGATTAAGGAGTACACTTGGGATGAGCACTAGGTGATATATGGAATTGCTGAATCACTACATTGTACACTTGAAACTAATATAACACTGTATGTTAACTATTCTGGAATTAAAATTAAAAAAATAAAACATTCTTAGAAAAAAAAAAAAAAACAAACGATGGCAAGTCTCCCCAAACTGATCTATCAGTCCCAGTATGCTTCTTTTTTTTTTTTTTTTTTTTTGGTAGGAATTAATTCTAAGATATATATGAAATCTAAATAAGGATTTGGACTATCCAAAACAATTCTGAAAAAGAAGATTAAAGCTTTAGGACTTAACTACCTAACTGTAAAGCTTAGCCTTACTGTAAAGCTACAATAATCAACACAGTGTGATATTGGCAAAAAGACAGACACACAGATAATGAAATAGGATGAACCCAGAATAACTCTCACATTCATGGTCATCTGAATTTCAACAACTGTGCCACTGCAATTCAATGGGGAAGGAATGGTCTTTTTAACATATGATGCTGGGACATGTCAATAATCACATGCAAAAATAAATAAGTATAAATGTCTCAGAATTTACAAAAAAACCCTTAAAATCAATGATAGCTGGAATTATAAAACTAAAACTTCAAAACTTCTAGGAGGCATAGGAAAAAATCTTGTGACCCTAGATTAGGTAAAGAATTCTTAAATAGGACAATAAAGGAGCAATCCATTAAAAAACCAAAAATCGGAAAAACTGGACTTCATCAAATTCTTCAAGTCATAACTTAGATAAAAGACCAGCCCCAGAATAGAAGAAAATATTTACAAATCATATATATGATAAAGAAATAGTATCTAACATATTAAAACCCTGAGACCTAAAGAATAAGAAGATAAAATAATTTTTTTAACAGGCTAAAGATCTGAAGACATTTCACCAAAGATACATGATTATTTAGTAAACATACAAAAAGATGCTCACCATCTATCCCTAATAGAGAAATCCAAATAAAACCACAATGAGATTCCACTATACAACTCACTAGACCAGCTATAACTTTAAAAAAACTAAAAAATCCAAACTTTGGCAGGATAGAGAGAAATTGAAACCCTTATACATTGTTGATAACACTATAAAATGCCACAGCCACTTTGGAAAACAGCTTGGTAGTTTCTTAACAGCATACTCATATATTTAATCACATGACCCAACAATTTCACTCGTGGTATCTAACCAAGAGGAATGAAAACATGGGTCATTTGTGTGCAAATGTTTATAGCAGCATCAATCATAATAGCCAAAAACTGTAAATAATCCAAGTATCTATCAACTGGTAAAGGGATAAGCTTAAAGTAGTAACCAAAATAAAATAAATAAAAAATAATAATTCATACAATAAGGATAAACCTAAGAAACATAATGCTAGTGAAGGAAGCTAGATGTAAAAGACATATTTTTATGATTTTGTTTATATGTAAAATGTCTAGGAAAGTCAAAATTATATAGACAGAAAGCAGGTTGTCTCCTGGGACAGCAGAAGGGAACAGAAACTGACTGCAACAAGAATGAAGAAACTTTGGAGTGATAAAAATGTTCTACAGCTGGACTGTGGTGATGGTTGCACATCTAAACAAATTGACTCAAAATCATCATACTGAATGCTTAGAATAGGTGAATTGTGTAGTACGTAAACTATACCTCAATAAGGCCATAAAAAATAAAAAGGATACATTCTACATAGAACCACAAATTGTTTTAAAATGAAACCGAGGTTAAAATAAATTGCCATTTCTCCCATTATTTAAAATAATCATCGTAAAGATAAACCTAATGTGTAACAATTACTCTTTGGAGAATGCAAAAGTAGTTTTAAGATGACTATTCACCTGTCTCATATACTGCTGGTGGAAGGGTAAAATGGTACAACCGCTAAAGAGAACAGTTTGGGAGTTCCTTAAAAGTTAAATAGATAATTACCATATAACCCAGAAATTCTAACCCCTAAGGTATAAATAGAAAAGAAATGAAAACATATGTCCATGAAAAAAATCTGTATATGCATGCTCATAACTGCATTATTCATAATAGCTAAAACCTGGAAACAATCTAAGTGTCTATCAGATGAATGGGCAAACAAAATGTGATATACTCAATACAAAAGATAACATCCAGCCAATGAAAAGGGATTTAGTACTGATAAATACTACAACACAGATGAACCTTGAAAATTACTATACTGAGTGAAAGAAGCCAGTCACAAAAAAAACCATGTACTGTATGATTTCATTTATGTGAAATGTCCAGAACAGGTAAATTCAAAAACAGAAAATAGATTCACAGCTGTCTAAGGACTGGGAGTGGGGAAGGATAGGCATGGGTAGTGACTGCTAATGGGTGTGGGATTCTTTGCAGGATCATAAAAATGTTCAAAAATTAGATGGTGGTGTTGGTTGCATACCTGCATGACTATAAAGAACAGTTGAAACTGATGAATTTTATTGTATGTGAACTGTATCTCAATAAATTTATTTAAAAAGATGATTATTGTGCTCACTTCAACTACTAAAATCGGAACAATACAGAGAAGATTAGAATGGCTCCTGCAGAAGGATGACACGCAAATTCGTGAAACGCTCCATATTAAAAAAAAAAAAAAGATGGATTATTAACCTATGATTTATTAAAATATCAAAAATAATTTCAGAGTAAAATTCTGAATTTCTAATCTTGTTTATTTGCTTTTCAGCATTTCTTTTTTTTTTTTTTAATTTTTTATTTTATTTATTTTATGATAGGCACACAGTGAGAGAGAGAGAGAGAGAGAGGCAGAAACACAGGCAGGGAGGGAGAAGCAGGCTCCATGCACCGGGAGCCCGACGTGGGATTCGATCCTGGGTCTCCAGGATCGCGCCCTGGGCCAAAGGCAGGCGCCAAACCGCTGCGCCACCCAGGGATCCCCCTGCTTTTCAACATTTCTAACATTTACTTACACAAGTATGTTCATGTTTAGTTCATTGTGGCTAAATATAAATCACTTCTAAAAAATCAACTGCATTTTTACACACTAGTAACAAACAGAAAATAACATTTTAAAAACATCCAACAAAAGGGGCACATGGGTGGCTCAGTCTTTAAGCATCTGCCTTTGGTTTAGGTCATGATCTCATGGTCCTGGGATTGAGCCCCACAGGGACTCCCTGCTCAGAGGGGAGCCTGTTTCTCCCTCTCCCTGTGCCCTTCCACCCTGCTTGTGTTCTCTCTGAGTATCTCTCTCAAATAAATAAATAAATAAAATCTTAAAAAACAAAAACAAAAAACAATCCAACAACAAAACGTACCTGAAGAATAAAAGTTAACTTGAAAATATATCAGAAGACATTAAGTACAACCAAAATAAATGGGAGGACATACCATATTCATGATTGAAAGACTCAGTATCACAAAATCACAATTCTGTGATACATTTAATGCAATGCCAATCAAAGTCCAAAAGGTTTTATAAGTGGAGTAGCAAAAGCCCAAACAGACAAGCCATCCAACCAGAAACAGAATAGAGTAGGGAACTTGCTGTATCTACACTAGATTTATTATAAAGCTGTACTAATGAAATTAGTGTGCTTCCAGAAAAGAGACATACTGACTGCTAGAGAAGAAACACACCTTCATATAGAACAAAAACAATATTTCACAAAGGTCACAACATTGCAGATCACTGAAGGAAAGAGGAATCATTCAACAGTGCTGAACAAACTGGTTATTTTTTTTTGGGGGGGGGGAAGAAATTGGATCCCTCCTATGTAACACGTAAAAAATAAATTCCATAGGGATTAAAATTTTAAATAGAGAAGACAAGTCTTTAATTTTTTTTTTAAGATTTTATGTATTCATTAGAGGCTCAGAGAGAGAGAGAGAGGCAGAGACACAGGCAGAGGGAGAAGCAGGCTCCCTGTGGGGAGCCTGATGCAGAACTGAATTCCAGAAACCTTGGATCATGACTGGAGCTGAAGGCAGAGACACTCAACCACTGAGCCACCCAGGTACCCCAAGCCACCCAGGTACCACAGAAAGGGCTAACTATAAATATATGAATAATAAATTCAACTACATTATCATTAAAAACTTCCATCCATCAACAAATACAACAAGAAAAAATAAAGAAGATTAAATACAATACCATCAAGCACATTGCCAAAAAAAAAAAAAAAAAAAAAAAAAACGAAAAAAACCACCACAGTATCCAGAATGTATGTGTGTGTGCATATCCTTTAACATTTTATTTAAAAATAGGAAAAGCGGGGATCCCTGGGTGGTACAGCAGTTTGGCGCCTGCCTTTGGCCCAGGGGGCGATCCTGGGGACCCAGGATCGAGTCCCACGTCGGGCTCCCGGTGCATGGAGCCTGCTTCTCCCTCTGCCTGTGTCTCTGCCTCTCTCTCTCTCTCTGTGTGTGTGTGTGTGTGTGACTATCATAAATAAATTTAAAAAAATTAAAAATAGGAAAAGCGTAGGGGTGCCTGGGTAGTCATTTGGTTAGGCATCCAACTCTTAACTTCAGCTCAGGTCATGATCTCAGGGTCAGGAGATTGAGCCCTGTGTAGGACTCCATGCTGTGGGGAGTTTGCTTCAGATATTCTTCCTCTCCTGCTGCTCCCTCTGCTCACAAGTACATACTCTCACTCTCTAAAATACATAAATAAAATCTTTAAATAAAAATAAAAATAGGCAAAATACAAAAAAGTATCCCTGGGTGTCAGGTCTGAGCAGGATGAGGCAGGCACCCAAGCTGGAAAGGAGGGAAGAGTGTGACATGGGAGTCAGAGCCCAAACTTTGGCAGAGTGGTATGGGTTAAGCAGGACCCGCACAACAGATGTCAATGACTGATCACGGGGAGGAGAGTGCCCACAAAAAGATGCACTGGACTGTACCTGTAGGAATTGACATAGGGTTGAAGGGGGCTTCCGCATGAAGGGTCTTCAAAACTTAAGAATTTGGGGGGGCGAGTGCAATGAATACGGCATGAAGATTACATACAGTGAGACCGGTCCAATAAGTAAATTTAGGTTAATAATAGGCAAGTTTCTCACTATTGGAGAAGGGGATATATAAAAAAGGAAGAAAATGTGATTAAACTCTATAGTGTAGGAATGAAACTGGAAGTAGCAGCATGATTGATGATTGACACGTCAAAAAGACATTGGAATCCCATTGGCTGAATCTGGGCAAGATGAGCATCAAAATAAGTAACAACAGTACCTGATTATAGCTCACTGAATACAAGACAGAATCATGAATTTGTACTGATATAAATTAATTAATTAAAGTTTGATGAGGAAGGAGATCGTCACACAGTCTTAGAGCACTTCCACACAAAACAATTATTAAACAGAGGGAAAATGAGTGATTTCACAAGAGAGAAACGTGACAGACACCATCTTCATCAGGTAATCAAGTTAACATAAACACTAATGCGTCAAAATGAAAATCATGTGTCACCTGATAAGATACTAAGAGAAGACACAGCATAACGTCTGAGATATTCCTGCCAAATATTCATAACTTGCATGTAATCACTAGGAAGCAGCAGACAAATCTAAAGGAAGAGAGTTCTACAAAATAAGTGGCCTATGCAGTATAGTCTTGGAAAGTGCCAAGGTCTTGAAAGTCAAACAAAGACTGAAGAACTGTTCCAGATTGAAGGAGACTGAAAGGATGTGACAAGTAAAATGAAGGCGTGCTTCTAAACTAGATCCTTTTGCTATAAAGGACATTATTGGGACTACTTGTGAAAATTGAATGAGATCTGAGGATTAGATGGTAGTAATGCATCAATGTTAATTTCCTGATTTTGATGGCTTTATTGTAGCTTATAGGACAATGTCCTTGTTTGTAGGAAATATATGCTCATTTATTCAAGGGTGATGAGGCATCACATCAAATCTTCATGGGAAAAATTTTTCTTTCTTATGTTGTTACTTAAAATTGAAAAAAAATTAGAAATAAATATATTTAATGCATAGTTTTAAGTACATACTGGACAAAAGACATAAACGAGCAATTCATGAAAGTAAAACACCAATGGTGAGTAATCACATGAAAAGATGTTCAATCTCATTAGCAATCAGAGAAAAGCAAATGAAGACATAGTAAAGATGCCGTTTTGTAGCTACAATATTGGAAAAAGTTAAGTGGCCTGAGATTTCCAAGTTTTGGCAATGATTTGGTTCACTGGGAGCTTCTGTGGTGTTATTAGTGGTATATAAATCACTAATTTGTGGTCCAATGACTTCGGAAAACAATTGGCATTAATTTGTATAACTGATTAATAAACTCATATAAGTAATTATCATTCTCTATACCCCTACTCTTAGGTAAATATTCTAGAGTCTTACACATGTGCACTAGAACATATATAAAAGAATTCAGACATAAGTAATAATCGCAATAGCAAAAACATACCTGTATCAGTGTACAGAAGTACACCAATCTCAATATAGATATATCAAAAACAAAACAGGCATACAGAAACATCCAACAGCAACAACAATCCAGATGTCTACCAATGGTACAATAAATAAATTCAGACAATGGAGTATTACTCAGCAGTAAAATAAATGAATTGCAAACTACATACAATAAATAAATTTCAAAGAACCATAATGAACAAAAAAGGCAAGTTTCAGGCAACTATGCACCCTTTTTATAAATCTTTACAAAAAGTAAAATTAAACAGCATATTACTTAAAGATCTATGTGATAAAACCAGTATTATTAAAAAGTTAGTGATAAACACAAAATTGAAGACTGATTAGGGAGTCAGGGAAGGCATTAAGGGCAGCGCCATGGGCAAGAAGGGAAATATGCTAACAGTGCACACTTTCTCAGTCAAGTTCTGGTTGGTGGATTCTTGCTGGATCATTTTAATATTATGCTTTATAATATAAATATATTTCTATCTGCATAATAAAAAATAAGCTGCCACGTTGTGGCAAAATAGAGTTTTACTTTGACAAGAATATAGTTTTAGGTGAGCATCATAATTTGCAGACATGAACAAATGCTAATTGCTGGGTAACAGATTTTCCTAAATCTCTTTTTCAAAACAAAATAAAGGAGGGTATAAGAAATACACTCCAAAGAACTGGAAAGCAGACTTGTAGATAAAAACTTAGAGCTCAGTCAACCAAAAAATGAGGCCAATTCATATCTACCATCAATTTGGTCTTAAAACTAGCATAAATGCTTGCTTAATCACTCCAAATTTGCAGAACTCTCTCATGGGAGTTGATTATTTTGCAAAAATTACTTAACATGAGAAATAGGCAAACTGAAGTAATTCAATATACTCCAGGTTCTGACCAAACAGTATTTCCCCTCTAATTATAAACAATTCCCCTCATTGATCGCATAGGCTAGTGGTCATATACTCACCCTGATTGGCCAAAAGTGTGATAAGAAAAGCCTAACCCATCCTTAAGAGCAAAACTGTCTTGCCCAATAAACAATTCCTTATAATTATTTTATGTACTTTTATCTGAAAAAACCCATGATAATTCAATATTCTCAACAACCTTGCATTGTAGGTAGGGAACATTATTACCAAGCAACACCTATGTCATGCAGCATAATATTATTAAAGGTTTAAAAA